TCTTTTGATAAAAAAAAATTGGGCTTAGCCAGAAGATCAGCATTCGAACTTCTGCTGTTAATGACAAAGTTCGGGAAGTAGATCAGAAATTTCAAGTTTCTGAGAAAGCCAAATCAGCATATTCAGCTGCTGAGCAAAAAATCAGTATTGCAGGATCAGCCATAATGAAGAACAGGTATGTATTTACTGGTGCTTCGTGGGTGACAGGTACATTCAATAAAGTTGCCAAGGCAGCTGGAGAAGTTGGCCAGAAGACGAAAGAGAAAGTGGGAACAGTTGAAGAGGAGGAAACAAAGAAAGAAGAGTTTCTAGTATGTGTTTGTGGTATGTGTTGAAAAATTCCAGCGGGCAGCGAAGGCAAGGTTGCCGGCCGGCTGTCCGCCGGAAAGAAAGGAGTATAGGCCTAAATCTTATAGCTCTGATACCATGTTAAAATTATTGTATTATTGATTGATATTGTTAATTTCTATTACAATGATTCATGATTCATGATTCCTATATATAGAAGAGGGTGAGTGTGTAGTAGGTAAGGAGTAGGTGAAGTGGAGGTGGTAGTGGTGTAGTGGGTTAGGTTTAGTGGAGTAGGTTTAAGTGGGTGAAGTAGGTGGAGAGTAGGTGGATTTTAACATATATATACGTATATATACATTTGTGTTTCTGGTTTTACTGGTCCTACGCAACTAAAACTGATGAGGACATTCATACCTGGCTAGTGAAGAGGGATTGTGTTTCAGTTCTATAGGTGAAAAAGCTTTTGAGGCTCTGCAAATCTTCAAGTGTCAAACTCGTTAATTGAAGGAACGAATTAGTATTATTGTTGTTTTCTTCTTCTTCCCCCCCATTCTTCAATACTATTACTTTCAGCTCTCGACATTCACGAACCTCAAGTCGTTCTAGTTTCGGTAATTGTCGAGGCATATTGGACGAACCGACATTCACCAATTTCTCACAGCTCCCGATGGTCACGTGTCTCAACTGTCGAAAAGAGTCTGATGGAAGTAATTTCCTATCCCATATCTCTGTTATCATTGTTAGTCCATCAATATGCAATGTCTCCAAGGCAGGGAATGTAACCTGCAACATTCATAACAAAATTGTTAAACATTAGACTCCGAGGTCAGCATTATAACAAGCAGTACAATGTAGCCCAATAAATTTATGTTAGTCTTAATTAGTCAATAATTGAAGTCCAATAAATTGATTTTACTATGTTCCAATTAATGCCAAAACTTAAATTGTTGGTTCCATAACAGCTAATATGATTTTGTTTTATGTAATGGAAACTATAATAGATTGGAAGTAACAAATCTTTTTGTTGCATTGGTGCAACCTTTTGTCCTCATTGTGCAATAGCTGTTGTGCACGAGTTGGTTTGATTGTTTTGACAACAAATCATCAATTGAATATATTAAGAAAATTTCAACCAACAATATATCCACCCTTTCTCAAAATTGATGGGTTCGGCAGATTAAAAGTACAAAATGAGAGAAAATCAGGCTTCACATTATTTTCACATTTCATCGTGATTTTTTCTATTTGACTTTGATAATCTATGTTCTATGATTTTATGAAAGCGAATCGTTTGTCTCCAATTGAAATTTCAACTGGACCAGACAGTTGAGATCTCTTACCGATAAAAGTCATTAAACGAAGGTCTCTTACCGCTGCGAGTTTATGAAAAGATTTAACTAAACGAAGAGTTAAAATAATGGGCCAATGCATTTCATAAACTCTTACTGGTAAGAGACCTCCGTTTAGTGACTGTTATCGGTAAGAGACCTTAACTGTCTGTTCCATTTGAACTTTCAACTACAGAAAAGACAAATCCCTTATAAAAACACACCATTTCAGGTTTATTTGAAACCTTGAATTTTACTATTTTAATTTTTCAAGTTTTTAGATAGTAATATTCAAGCAAATGTCAAAGTATTAAATTGGAAAATATGAAAGATTCAAAATAAATACACAAATCAATACATGGCCAACAAGGGTGCCTTTCGGGCCATGGGAGTCCACCGTGGGTCACGTTTTGATGATTTAAATTTTTCATTTTGTAAAGTCCTTAGTGTATATCATCTAAAAAAAAAGATCGATCCAATAATCTTAGCCTATTTAATTTATTACAATTGCATCTGAAAAAATGAATGATAAGTGTGCTTAAAAAAAAAAATCTATAAAATAAAAACCTTCATTTTTTTTAATGACAAACAAGATAAATTGAAAAGGCTAAAATTATCAAATTGATTTAATTTTTCTTGCGGATAATATAAACGAAGAATCCTAGAAAATGCACGGTTCGAATAATTAAAAAGAGAGTTGTAGTGGGCCCACGAGCCCAAACAACACATTTCAGTCTAGATTATTGACACGAGAGAAGCCTAATCTAAGAAAAATACAAACATACATATATATATACATACGTATATATACATTTATTTTTCTGGTTTTACTGGTCATGTGCAACCAAAACTGATGAGGACATTCATACCTGGCTAGTGAAGAGGGATTGTGTTTCAGATCTATAGGTGGAAAAGCTGCTGAGGCTCTGCAAATCTTCAAGTGTCAAACTCGTTAATTGAAGGAACGAATTGGTATTATTGTTGTTTTCTTCTTCTTCCCCCCCATTCTTCAATACTATTACTTTCAGCTCTCGACATTCACGAACCTCAAGTCGTTCTAGTTTCGGTAATTGTCGAGGCATATTGGACGAACCGACATTCACCAATTTCTCACAGCTCCCGATGGTCACGTCTCTCAACTGTCGAAAAGAGTCTGACGGAAGTAATTTCCTATCCCATATCTCTGTTATCTTTGTTAGTCTTTTAATTTGCAATCTCTCCAAGGAAGGGAACGTAACCTGCAACATTCATAACATAATTGTTAAACATTAGACTCCACGTTCAGCATTATAACAAGCAGTACAATGTAGCCCAATAAATTTATGTTAGTCTTAATTAGTCAATAATTGAAGTCCAATAAATTGATTTTACTATGTTCCAATTAATGCCAAAACTTAAATTGTTGGTTCCATAACAGCTAATATGATTTTGTTTTATGTAATGGAAACTATAATAGATTGGAAGTAACAAATCTTTTTGTCGCATTGGTGCAACCTTTTGTCCTCAATGAGAAATAGGTGTTGTGCACGAGTTTGTATGATTGTTTTGACAACAAATCATCAATTGAATATATTAAGAAAATTTCAACCAACAATATATCCACCCTTTCACAAAATTGATGGGTTCGGCAGATTAAAAGTACAAAATGAGAGAAAATCAGGCTTCACAATATTTTCACATTTCATCGTGATTTTTTCTATTTGACTTTGATCATCTGTGTTCAATGATTTTATGAAAGGGAATCGTTTGTCTCCAATTGAAATTTCAACTGGACCAGACAGTTGAGATCTCTTACCGATAAAAGTCATTAAACGAAGGTCTCTTACCGCTGCGAGTTTATGAAAAGATTTAACTAAACGAAGAGTTAAAATAATGGGCCAATGCATTTCACAAACTCTTACTGGTAAGAGACCTCCGTTTAATGACTGTTATCGGTAAGAGACCTTAACTGTCTGTTCCATTTGAACTTTCAACTACAGAAAAGATAAATCCCTTATAAACACACACCATTTCAGGTTTATTTAAAACCTGGAATTTTACTATTTTAATTTTTCAAGTTTTTAGATAGTAATATTCAAGCAAATGTCAAAGTATTAAATTGGAAAATATGAAAGATTCAAAATAAATACACAAATCAATACATGGCCAACAAGGGTGCCTTTCGGGCCGTGGGAGTCCACCACGGGTCACGTTTTGATGATTTAAATTTATCATTTTGTAAAGTCCTTAGTGTATATCATCTAAAAAAAAAGATCGATCCAATAATCTTAGCCTATTTAATTTATTACAATTGCATCTGAAAAAATGAATGACAAGTGTGCTTAAAAAAAAAAATTCTATAAAATAAAAACCTTCATTTTTTTTAATGACAAACAAGATAAATTGAAAAGGCTAAAATTATCAAATTGATTTAATTTTTCTTGCGGATAATATAAACGAAGAATCCTAAAAAATGCACGGTTCGAATAATTAAAAAGAGAGTTGTAGTGGGCCCACGGGCCCAAACAACACATTTCAGTCTAGATTATTGACACGAGAGAAGCCTAATCTAAGAAAAATACAAACATACATATATATATATATATACGTATATATACATTTGTTTTTCTGGTTTTACTGGTCATGTGCCACCAAAACTGATGAGGACATTCATACCTGGCTAGTGAAGAGGGATTGTGTTTCAGATCCAGAGGTGAAAAAGCTGCTGAGGCTCTGTAAATCTTCAAGTGTCAAACTCGTTAATTGAAGGAACGAATTGGTATTAGTGTTGTTTTCTCCTTCTTCCCCCCCATTCTTCAATACTATTACTTTCAGCTCTCGACAATGACTAACCTCAAGTCGTTCTAGTTTCGGTAATTGTCGAGGCATATTGGACGAACCGACATTCACCAATTTCTCACAGCTCCCGATGGTCACGTCTCTCAACTGTCGAAAAGAGTCTGATGGAAGTAATTTCCTATCCCATATCTCTGTTATCATTGTTAGTCCATCAATATCCAATGTCTCCAAGGCAGGGAATGTAACCTGCAACATTCATAACAAAATTGTTAAACATTAGACTCCGAGGTCAGCATTATAACAAGCAGTACAATGTAGCCCAATAAATTTATGTTAGTCTTAATTAGTCAATAATTGAAGTCCAATAAATTGATTTTACTATATTCCAATTAATGCCAAAACTTAAATTGTTGATTCCATAACAGCTAATATGATTTTGTTTTATGTAATGGAAACTATAATAGATTAGAAGTAACAAATCTTTTTGTTGCATTGGTGCAACCTTTTGTCCTCAATGAGAAATAGGTGTTGTGCACGAGTTGGTTTGATTGTTTTGACAACAAATCATCAATTGAATATATTAAGAAAATTTCAACCAACAATATATCCACCCTTTCTCAAAATTGATGGGTTCGGCAGATTAAAAGTACAAAATGAGAGAAAATCAGGCTTCACATTATTTTCACATTTCATCGTGATTTTTTCTATTTGACTTTGATAATCTATGTTCTATGATTTTATGAAAGCGAATCGTTTGTCTCCAATTGAAATTTCAACTGGACCAGATAGTTGAGATCTCTTACCGATAAAAGTCATTAAACGAAGGTCTCTTACCGCTGTGAGTTTATGAAAAGATTTAACTAAACGAAGAGTTAAAATAATGGGCCAATGCATTTCATAAACTCTTACTGGTAAGAGACCTCCGTTTAATGACTGTTATCGGTAAGAGACCTTAACTGTCTGTTCCATTTGAACTTTCAACTACAGAAAAGACAAATCCCTTATAAACACACACCATTTCAGGTTTATTTAAAACCTTGAATTTTACTATTTTAATTTTTCAAGTTTTTAGATAGTAATATTCAAGCAAATGTCAAAGTATTAAATTGGAAAATATGAAAGATTCAAAATAAATACACAAATCGATACATGGCCAACAAGGGTGCCTTTCGGGCCGTGGGAGTCCACCGTGGGTCATGTTTTGATGATTTAAATTTTTCATTTTGTAAAGTCCTTAGTGTATATCATCTAAAAAAAAAGATCGATCCAATAATCTTAGCCTATTTAATTTATTACAATTGCATCTAAAAAAATGAATGATAAGTGTGCTTAAAAAAAAATTCTATAAAATAAAAACCTTCATTTTTTTTAATGACAAACAAGATAAATTGAAAAGGCTAAAATTATCAAATTGATTTAATTTTTCTTGCGGATAATATAAACGAAGAATCCTAAAAAATGCACGGTTCGAATAATTAAAAAGAGAGTTGTAGTGGGCCCACGGGCCCAAACACCACATTTCAGTCTAGATTATTGACACGAGAGAAGCCTAATCTAAGAAAAATACAAACATACATATATATATATATATATATATTATAGCGATCTCGATATTCCCTGTTGTTGTATATCTATAATCTGGACTCAGTTCCGTAGAGTCGTTGTTGTCTTATCCTCATTTCTATCCCTTACTCTTTGTTTTAGAGTTTTGGGTTGTGTTGGGCAAGTTGGGAATTAGTTGGTTGTGTTTTAAAGCTTTGAAAATTTTGCCCAGGTTTTGGTCTCTCCGCTCGAGCGGCGGTTTTACGCTCGAGCGGGCTTTTGTTGCTGCCTTTCCGCTCGAGCAGCAGTTTGGACGCTCGAGCGTGATTTTCCATGTCCCAGTACTTTACTCTGCAGTTAGTCCGCTCGAGTGGTAGTTTTTACGCTCGAGCGTGATCCTTTGATTTTTGTCCATACGCTCGAGTGGGGAGTTTTACGCTCGAGCGGAGAGTAGACTGCAAACCTTCTAGAAGTGTGCAATCAGCGCTCGAGCGGCTCTTTTCACGCTCGAGCGTGAGTCTGTGTCTTACGCTCGAGCGGGGTTTTCTACGCTCGAGCGGAGAGTCGACTACATCAGTCCGTGATTTCACTTTTTGGATCACTTTTTGACCTACTTTTCCTCTCTTAACTTTTAAAAACCGCCCCTTGAGAGTTTCTCTCTCTACTCTTACCTTCTCTCTAAGTTTTGATCTATTCCCGGTGGTAGGGATTCTCCTTGTTCTTTTTCAATACTTCGTCTATAGATAGACATGTGGTAATTTTGTATTGCATAAAAATCATATCCATGTTGGATTTGTTTGAAATCATAGGAAGGAACCTAGGGTTGGGTATTTGAAAATGGTTATGTTATCATTGAGAGTTGTTTTGGGCTAATTGGAGTGTAAATTAGCATGTTGTAGTTGATAAAGGAAAAAGGCCTAAATCATATTTTGATTGATAAAATAAAATGGAGAATAATGAACCTAAATTGTAACTCTCTATTGTTGATGTGAGTGGGTGAAGGTGCTAATGCCTAAGGGGTTAACTTTGGCTTTGAAATGGGTTTGAAATGTATGTAGTGTACTAATGTGAGTTATGGCTTCCTTATTGGTAGAAATCGGTTTTTGTAAAATAAAAGGGATGGGTTTGGTTTTGTGACAACTAAAGAGACGGAGTTGGTTTTGTTAAAACAAAGAGGGAAGTGGAACTTGTTTTGTGAAATGGGAAAAGTGTTTTGAAATACGTATGAAAATTGGATTATTGTTTCATGAGTGTTGAACACACACATGTGTGGAATTGTATCTTGAACTACCATGTTAATGTCGTTGTCGGGTTTGTGGTCTCATAGTAATTGAGTCTTTAATAGGTGTACTAAATATTTGCATCTAGAGGTTTTATCCTTGGTCATCGATGGAGGATGACGTGGTTGTGTTGAATTGCCGTGTATGTAATACACCATTGTTGATTGAACATTACATGTGATGAAATGCTGAATTACATTATATTTGTATAATAGAAAATGAAATTGAATAAAAATGGAATTTTATGGTTAATAAAAACAAATCCTATATAGGTAAAAAATATTTCACTTTTAAAAAGTAAAAAACATTTTTTGATCTAAAGTCTTAACAATGTCACCACACTACTACCGCTCACCATGTCACCACCTCTAACTCCACCTTCGTTCCACCACCACCACTACAAAACATAAAAAAATATTTTTCTTAATAAATTCAAACATTATAATAATATTTATAGACACCAAAAAATTAATGAAGTGAGATTATTGAATCTTCAAAACACAAGGACCAATAAAAATAATGAAGTGATATTCTTGAATTTGTAAAACACAAAGACCAATAAAAATAGGGAAGTGATATTTTCTAAAATACAGAAAGTTATTATCTTTAAATAAGATATAATAAATGATCTCAAAATAAATAGAAAGAGAGAGAGAGAGAGAGAGAGAGAGAGAGAGAGAGAGAGAGAGAGAGAACGAGAG